CTAAAATTAAGAATTAAAATTAAATCAATTGAAACTGTGATGATTAAAATGATACAAACAACAAAATATAAGGCTTACCTGTGTAATTTACCCAATTATTTATGTATTATAATTTAATAATAATGCTAGAAACACTAAAGTAATATAAGCAAACAAAAAAAATAGATAGAATGTTAAGTGGATCCCATATCAAGGATCAAGAATCATAATGCTCCGACGTAACTATAAAAATACACACATTTGGGTGTTCTTCGTCTACGGTCATGTGGTAGTCTAAAGGGTTGTTTGGGATAACTTAAATATGTATATTTTTTATCTTTTTACGAAAAGATATACAGAAAAGTAAAGAGGCGATATGATGAAAAAAAGATAAAAAGATAAATTATTTTGTAGTAGCCAAACTTAGCCTAAGTTGTTATAATTGATAAAACGGTAAGCGTATGATTTTGTATCGGCAATTGAAAAACATTAAAAAAAAAAAAAAAGTATGATGTATGATAATTAATAAAAGAGTGTAAGGATTCGTTTGGAAAGTGGGCTGTCTTTTTGACTTTTTTGGCTATTTTAACCTGGAGCTAAAAATTCTCGTTTGGGAAGGATTTTTGACTTTTTAATTTTTTTTATGAGAGAAAAAATATAATAATTATAAATTGGATGTGATGTTTTGTCTTATTAAGCTAAAAAGCCTATTTTATTTTTTGTGACTATTTTAACCAAAAAAACTTAGGCTCTGTTTGGTTGTGAATTCAAAATGTAATTCCACATGTGTATTTCAGTATGATGTTTGGTTGTGTGTTTGGAATCAACTTTCCAAACTTCTGCAGAGAGCTCTGTATTACAATTAGACCGAACTTAGGAAAAAATTCTGGTTTTATCCAGAATTTTATAACCATTTCTAACAAAAAATACACACATATGGGTGTTCTTCGTCTACGGTTATGTGGTAGTTTAAAGGGTTGTTTGGGATAACTTAAATAAGTATATTTTTTATCTTTTTACGAAAAGATATACAGAAAAATAGAGAGGCGATATGATGAAAAAAAGATAAAAAGATGAATTATTTTGTAGTAGCCAAACTTAGCCTAAGTTGTTATATTTGATAAAAAGGTAAGCGTATGATTTCGTATCGGCAATTGAAAAACATTAAAAAAAAAAAAAAAGTATGATGTATGATAATTAATAAAAGAGTGTAAGGGTTCGTTTGGAAAGTGGGCTGTCTTTTTGACTTTTTTGGCTATTTTAACCTGGAGCTAAAAATTCTCGTTTGGGAAGGATTTTTGACTTTTTAATTTTTTTGACTTTTTTTTATGTTTTCTACACTCAAATCATAATTTTACAACACACAAATTCAAAATACAATTCATACTCTCAAATCACATTTACAAAACACAACCAAACGCGACCTTAGCCTTTTTCTTCCCAAACGGAACCTAAATACTTGATGTTCTAATAATATTGAATAATTTTTCCACAGCTATTGCACTTTAAAGATAAAGAGTCAATATTTAGGCCAAGTTTAGCAACCCAAAAATAATCCATCTTTTTATCTTTTTTCTATTACATTACCTCTCTACTTTTCTGCACATCTTTTCGTAAAAAGACAAAAAATACACTTATTTAGGTCATCCTAAACAACCCCTTAAAATAAATAAATAAAAAATTCACAATAAAAGTAATGAAATTAACTATTTTCTTCAAATGTATAACCATCACATCACTAAAGCACTAAATATATAATTATATACAAACTTTGATTTTTTAAATATTTTCTTAAAATTGAAATCGAAATAAAAACTTACGGCATGGTATTTGGTACACCTGTTTTTTTTAAACAAAATTAACTAAATAAAATAAGAATCATAACTAATTTCCTATATAATAATAAAATTATTTAAATTATTAATTAAAATATATTTTTAATATTATTATAAATTATTAATTGATTTAATAATTTATTATGAAATTAAAAATCATAAAGAATGAAATATAATTTTTAAAATAAAAAAAGGGATAATTTATCTATAAAAAAAAAAAAAAACAAAGTAGAAAATTTTTGTGTGGTGTTTTAGCCGAGCCGTATAATAGTCGATGGGCGTTAGTGGATGGGCTGTGGTGGCGGCGGCGGCAGCTGAGGAGAGAAAATGATGGGGTCTTTGTTTAATAAATTTGCCGGAGAATATTGCGGGGGAAGTGACAAACTGACGAGGAGTTGGGTCACTGTCAGAGGTGATCCCACCTCGGGAACTGAGATACGTAATATCCATTGGGTGGTGAAAGAGACCCTATCACATCAATGGGTGAAAATTTCAAAAAAAAAAAAAAAAAAATACACAGTACTAACATTAACATATCACATCAATAGTGCCCAACCGTCGGAACTCCTTTGAGGATTGGTTTGGAAATTAGGTTAATTTTTTGATTTTTTAATTATTTTATTTTAGGATTAAAAAATTTCATTTAGAAAGAATTTTTAGTTTTTTAAAAATTTTTACGAGAGAAAGAATATAATTGATGATGCAGTTTGTCCCAGTGAATGGATCGGACTGGTTCAAGCTCCTCAAGCCCAGGTCCAAATGATCAAGCCCACCGGATAACCTGCAAACAAGTTCAACGGGAAACGGGGTAGTCCCCCAGTGAACCCTTCGACGAGCAAGTTAGGAAGAGAAGTAGAGTGTAGAGGGAGAGATTAGAGATAGAAATGCTTAACATTCTTCTTGTCTTTAACGTTTGCTTATATCATTTGGTAATCATTTCGCTGTCCCTTCCGACCTGACCTCCTCGCCGAAAGTCTATGTTGTAACTTACCTTGTTCAGGGTAAGGGGGTCCTGTTCCGACGGAGAGGTATTGTCGTAATAAATGCTGTGATGGGCTGCATTAATGGTGATGTACAGTGGCAATAACTTTGCAGATCTTTGTCTGCTGATGTGACTCGTCCTTCACCTGCCATGTGTCTGAATGTCATTGGCTCTTTATGCCATGTTGGATTCCAGCTGTCCTGGACCTCACCAGCTGGGTTATGTATTGGGCTCTAAGTGATGGGTTTGGGTTGTTCATAGTGATTCATGGCCTTTATGGTGTTATATACGTCAGTAGTTCCCCATTCCCGAGTGCAGCTTTAGTCCAACGAATGAAATACAAATGAAGAAGATGAGGGTGTTAGGGATTGGCAGGATGAAGGTCGACCGACAGGGGTGACCGAGAGGGTGAACCGACCGGGAGGTGGTCCGACCGTGCAGGGTAATCGAGTGGAAGGGCCGACCACGAGGAGGGCCGACCGCAAAGGTTGGTCGAGTGGGAGGGTCGACCACGAGGAGGGCCGACCGCGAAGGAGGGCTGACCGCGGAGGTTGGCCGAGTGGGAGGGTCGACTACGAGAAGGGCCGACCACGAAGGGTGACCGAGTGGGAGGGTCGACCACGAGGAGGGTCCACCGCGAAGGGTGAGGTGGAGGGGCGTGGGGCTCGAGAGGCGGCGTGTCACGTAGTGATTTGAAGTGAAAAAGACAGGGTAAGGGGAGGAGATAGTGGATTGTGGTCGTACGCGTGGCAACATCCCGCCGGGGGGGATTAGGCGTTAGATCAGAAGTGAAACGATAGGCCATTATGGGTGTTGAAAAGACAGTTTTGGCAGATGATTTGAAAAGTTTTCAAGCTGGCGAAAATTATTTGGGATCCTTGGAATACGGGCAAACCGTGGGCTTTTGGCATTATTCAATTCACCTACTTATTTACGAAAAATCAAAATATTCTAAGTGTGAATTCCTTTGTTGCTCGCGATACACCTCTGCAACACTTTTTCAACTTCCTTGCACCTGCATCCGAAGCGATTCGCAAGCATACCATAGAAATGACCCAAAAAGAAACTGCGAATGTCAGGGTGGATCTACTTGGTGATGATGACGCAGTGGAGTTAGCACAGCAATATATGATGGAGAGGGTGGGGGAGTCGGTGGTACGATCCCATGGTTCTACTATGATAGCAGCTCCAAAGCCAATCAGCCAGGCAGAACCAGATCACTGGCATACAAAGACAGATAGATCAACGGTTACTGCAGCAGATTTGGAGGCCATTCGTGAAAAATACCAGGTGTCTGCTGAAATAGAGTTGTTGTTGCCGATGTCGACGGAGAGGCCATCCGATGCCAAGTCAGGGGAGTTTGCCCTTTATGAGGAAGCATTGAAAGGAGGACTGAGGCTGCCCCTGTCGCAAGTGGTGGTAGATGTCCTAAATCGTTTGGAGGTAGCGCCGGGCCAACTAATGCCCAATACGTGAAAGATCTTACTGGCCTGTGCAAGTGCGTGGCCGAAGGCGAACGAAGTGGCGGCCATGACAGTAGACGAATTCTTCGAATGTTACAAGGCCTCAGGGTAGCAAGAGACTTGGGTCACTCTACAGGCAGCGATAGGGAAAGGGCTGGTGGCAGGCTGCTGTCGTCAATCAAGGAGTGGAGACCACGGTGGTTCTATATATCTGCCAGTGGAGGGGTTGGAGTTAGCACCATTTGAAAAGTGCCCACCAAGTTTGTGGAGCCAAAGCTGGGAGCAGCAACAGAGAAGAGGGTGAAGAGGGTAAAGGAATAGAGGGAGAAGGAAGGGGCCAGGTGGGACGAGCTCATTCAGCCGTCGGCTTTGTTTGAGGCATGGTTAGGTCCACAGCCGAGTGGTGGGGACCTCGATCGAACGGAGTTTAAGGCAAGGAGAAAGGCTCAAGAGGCGGAGGATCAGACCATCCTTGCTAAAGCCCAAAAATTCAAAGAGTCTCAGGCAGATCGATCGCCAAAGCCGGTTGCAAGGGAGAGGATCCGACCGCGACCCAAACCCTTGGAGGAAAAGAACTTAGGTGAGTTTGTGCCACGACCGCCTCCAATAGATCCTTTGAAGGAGAGGTCATTGAAGGAGATGGAGGTGTTGGGCATAGTGAAGAAGAAGAGGAGAGTGAGAAGAAGTGAAGAAGAGCCTGCCTAGAAGAGAAAGAGGGAAGTGAGAGCAGAAGAGACCAGTATGGCGAAGGAGGCAGAGGAGGGGGAAGTGAAGGAGACCCCAGGAAGAGTAATTGCCTCAAAAGTGGTGGACATTGCCTCAGAGGGCATGGAAGTCGTTCCAATAGTGGCGGCGATCGCCGCGGGGGTCGCGAGGGTCGCCCTTAAAGTGCAAGTAGAAGGTGGGGCGACTGGCCCTGAGCCAAGGAGAGGAGAACAGCCCCAGGGGGGTCCTACACCCCAAGGAGGGGGAGTCAGTCTGACTACTGCGATTTGCCATGCTCGTGCGGTGGCTAGGCAGTTGGAGGGAGAAAAAGGCCCAGCCAGGGCAGGGGCGGACCGCCTTGTGGGGATTGTAGAAGAGGCAGCCTTGCGCTCAGCAACCAGATTCAATGAGGCTGAACTGCTGAGGGGGTTATGCTCCGCTCAAATGGAGGTAACCACCTTAGCAGGGACTCTGCTGAGGAAGGCTGGGGCTGTAAAGCTCAAGGCAGATGAGTCCAAGGCTCAACTTGCAAGGTTGAAGAAAGAGAGCGCAAACTGGGAGAGTGCCCACGTTGAGCTGCAAACGGCCAAGGTGGAGCTGGAGAACACATGCCGCCAGGTTGTGTCGCTCGAGTTCCAACTGGCTGGCGAGCAGAAGAGGTTGGATGAGGCCCAAAAAGCCTGCGCAGTCGCAATCGAACGACATGAAGAGGCGATGAGCAGTAATGAAGAGCTGGTCAGGCAGAAGGATGAGGCAGACATGAAGATTGACGATCTGCAAAAGGAGTTGGAGGGCTAGCGTGCTAAGGCAGTGAAGGAGAAGGAGAGCCTTCGGAAGGAGTTGGAAGTAGAGAGAGCCAAGGCGCTTGCTGAAAAGGAGAGCCTTCAGAAGGAGTTGGAGGCAGAGAAAGCCAAGGCAACTACTGAAAATGAGAGCCTTCAGAAGGAGTTAGAGGCAGAGAAAGCCAAGGCAACTGCTGAAAGGGCAACCCTGGATAAGGAGTTGGCGGAGGAGAGGGCTAAGGCAGCCTCTGAAAGGGCAGCTTACCCCGATCTTTATGTGGCAGCAGTGGACCAGTTCAAGGGGTCTGCTGAATTTCAGATAGCAGTGGATGCCGCGGTCGCCAGTAGCTTGGCGAGGGAGGAGTCTGGGGGGCGGGTCTGTCGAGGACGACTGCTGGAGGAAGGACTGAGACAGAAGTGATTGAGAGCTTCCAGCGGTCAGACTTTTATAAGCACGAAATGGCTGAGTTCTGGGATAGTGGTTGGGAAATGTTCAAGCGTAAAGCTGTGGAGCTGTTCCCAGACTTGGACCTGAGTAGTGTGAAAATCGATGACAACGATGTGGCCCAGACCCCCCTTGATGAGGGTATTGAAGAAGAAGACCTTGTGTCCAGTGAAGAGGAGTAGTTTGAAGAAGAAGAAGAAGGCCTTGCACAGACCTTGTGTGTTTGTGTTTGTTTTGTTTGTTGTTTTGTTTTGTTTTCTGTTTTGAATGGCTGTAATGAACTCATGTACAAATTTCTGAATAAATAAAATTGCAATTATGTTTTCATTTGATTGTTTGTGCTTGTGCAACTGAAATGAATGAGGCGTGGGCGAGGCGTGTATAACTCATTGTGAAGTGTAAAGTGGAGTTAAACTTGTAATAAGAAATAAATTTAAGAACTCCTCAGTGTAGAGTGAAATTGAAGTTGTAATAAAAACTCAATGCAGGGTAAAGTTAGGAACTCCTTAATGTAGAGTGAAACTTTAAATGTAGTAAAATTATAAGTTTGTGTTTGCCACACTGCTGAAGTAGATTAGTGGTTTATTGGAGTGAGGCTTGGCTTGTAAGGAAACAGGCTGACTTGTAAGAGTTTGATTGAGAAGAAAATAACCTGACTTGTAAAGAAAACGTGTAAGAACGTCTTTGGAATTTGGCTAAGCAAAGAGTGGTGTAAAGACTTGGACCTGGAATTGTGACTAAGTGTGTCTACTAATTCCATAAGCATAAAGTTTGCATAGATGGCTTCGACCAAGCCCTGCACGCGTGCTCAGTTGGGGCTAAGCTATGATTCACTGACGTTGTAAGGAACTCAATCTGAACCTGAAATTGTGGCGCTTGGTTCGGCTGAGACTTGTTATGCTTAGGCTGGCTGAGGCTTGGTCTGGCCGAGTGCTTCATGCTCAGTCTGGGTGAGGCTTTTCGTGCTCAGTCTGGCTGAGGCTTTTCGTGCTCGGTCTGGCTGAGGCTTTTTGATGCTCAGTCTGCCTGAGGCTTTATGATGCTCAGTCTAGCTGAGGTTTTTTTATGCTCAGTCTGGCTGAGGCTTTATGATGCTCAGTCTGGCTGAGGCTTTATGATGCTCAGTCTGGCTGAGGCTTTTCGATGCTCAGTCTGGCTAAGGCTTTATGATGCTCAATCTGGCTAAGGCTTTTCGATGCTCAGTCTGGCTGAGGCTTTATGATGCTCAGTCTGGCTGAAGCTTTTTAGTGCTAAGTCTGGCTGAGGCTTTATGATGCTCCGTCTGGCTGAGGCTTTTTGATGCTCGGTCTGGACGAAGCTTTTTAATGCTCAGTTTGGCTGAGGCTTTATGATGCTCGGTCTGGACGAAGCTTTTTAATGCTCAATCTACCTGAGGCTTTATAATGCTCAGTCTGACTGAGGCTTTTCATGAGTGCTGCAATCAAAACGTCATTGAGACACCATATAGATAACTGAGATATATAATTGTTGGCAGGGAAAGTGTAACCCATTTAATCAAAAAGTTACATTGCGTAAGGGGATATCAAGAATGTGTAAATTTGCCGAAAAGAAAATACAATAACTGAGCGATACAAAAGAAGGAGCTTATTGAAAGTAACGTTTCAGGTGTTCGGCGTTCCATGGGTGGGGGAGGTCTCGACCTTCCATGTTCTGAAGTCGGTAGGTGCCCGGACGTGGTCGGGCTTTCACAACGTAAGGTCCCTCCCATTTGGCTACCAGTTTACCCTCAGTCGGATTTTTGGTGGCAAGAGTTGCTTCTCTCAAGACAAGGTCCCCTACAGCGAACTCCTTTGGTCGGACTTTACGGTTGTAGTGTGTTCTCATTTTCTGTTGGTATGAGGCCAGTCTGACAGCGGTGGTCTCTCTGAGTTCTTTAATTAGGTCCAGGTCTGCCCGACGGAGCTCTTCGGTTAGTGCTGGATCCGGATGTAAAACCCTGGGAGTAGGCAGACCGACTTCTACTAGAATAACCGCCTCAGCGCCGTATGTTAAGCGGAAAGGGGTTTCAACAGTGGGAGTCCGAGCTGTAGTTCGATAAGCCTAGAGTACATTCGGTAGTTCATCAGCCCAAAGTCCCTTAGCAGCTTCGAGCTTAGTTTTGATGATCTTCAGGAGAGAATGGTTGGTGACCTCGACTTGGCTATTGGCCTGGGGATGACCGGGGGCAGAGAAACATGGTTGAATCTGGAGGTCGGCACAGAACTTCCTATATTTGGCGTTGTCAAATTGTTTGTCGTTGTTGGAGATGATGGCCTGAGGGATGCCAAATCTGCAAACGATCGACTGCCAGATGAACTTGGTTGTGTTCCACTCGGTAATGGTGGCAATGGGCTCTGCCTCTACCCACTTGGTGAAGTAATCAATGGCAACGATCGCGAACTTAGTCTGACCTCGGCCGGTGGGAAGTGGATCGACCAAGTCGATCCCCCATTTGGCGAACGGATAAGGGCTGCAAAGTGTAATCAACTCTGTAGGAGGAGCATGGGGGATGTTGGCAAAACGTTGACACTTATCACATTTGAGCACGAAATCAGTCGCATCTTGATTGAGAGTTGGCCAGAAATAACCAATACGGAGTATTTTGTGGGCCATAGACCTGTCGCCCGAATGATTACCACAAATTCGCTCATGGATTTCCCGCATGACATAGGTTGCTTGAGCCGAATTGAGGCATCGCAGGTATGGGCATAAAAAACCACGTTTGTATAAGATGCCACTAACCAGGATGTAATTGGACGATCGGGCTCTGATTTTGGCGGCCTGCTGTTGGTCATCTGGGAGTTCCCCCGTTGTCAAAAATAGGAAGATGTCGGACGCCCAAGGGATAGGTTCGTTTTGGAGGAACTGCACTTCTTGTAAGTCGGGTGAGATGGCCGGGTGGGCTAGGTATTGGAGGCGGACACCGTGGCTGAGGTCGGACTGGTCTGCAGAGGCCAACTGAGCCATCTCATCTACCTTGGAGTTTTCCGCCCGAGGTATGTGCTTGATGCGGAAGGTATTGAAAAGGCGAACAAGGGGGAGGGGCAATATCCCTGTAAGTCCGCATTGTGTCCTTCTTGGTATCGAATTCCCCCGTAATCTGGCCGACGATAAGCTAGGAGTCGCTGAACACCCAGATGTGGCTAACTCTAATGTCCTTGGCGAGGCGGAGTCCTGCTATCAATGCCTCATATTCGGCCTCATTGTTACTGGCATTAAACAAGAAACGGAGAGCACATTTGAAATAGCCACCCTCAGGGGCGGTGAGAATGAGGCCAGCCCCACTACCTTCCCTGCGGGATGATCCGTCAACGTTGAGGGTCCATGAATGCTGGTCTTCTGGCTCGGTAGGGGTTGGTGGGGGTGGGGGCGCAACGGTTCGGGTAGGATTAGTGAATTCCAGGATGAAATCCGCGACAACTTGTCTCTTAATTGCTGTTTGAGACCGGTAGGAGATGTCAAACTGACTGAGTTCCACTGACTACTGCATGAGTCTGCCGGAAATTTCTGGTTGTTGCATGACCTTCTTTAACGGTTGGTCGGTGAGAACCACTATGGAATGGGCCTGGAAGTAAGGACGGAGCCGTCTGGAGGTGGTGACCAAGGCCAAGGACAATTTTTCTAACAGCGGGTAATTCTGCTCTGCTCCCCTGAGAGCCCGACTGATGTAGTAGACCGGCCGTTAGACAAAATCGTCTTCCCTGATAAGAGTTGCACTGACTGCGGTGCATGAGACGGCTAAATAGAGGAAGAGGGGCTCACCCGTAATTGCTTGTGAAAGGAATGCGGGATTTGCCATGAACTACTTCAACTGCTAAAAAGCTTTTTCAGATTCAGTTGTCCATTCAAAAGTTCGCCGAAGAACTTTGAAGAATGGTAGGCACTTATCTGTTGCGCGGGAAATGAAACGATTGAGGGTCGCAACTCGGCCAGTGAGCCTTTGAACCTCCTTAACCGTTCTGGCTGACTGCATCTCAATCAAGGCCTTGATCTTTTCAGGGTTAGCTTCAATGCCCCGCTGACTAACCATAAAACCCAGAAACTTCCCAGATCCTACGCCGAAGGCGCACTTCTCTGGGTTGAGCTTCATTTGGTACTTGCGTAGGGTGGCGAAGGTCTCTCACAGGTCGGACAGATGATCAATAGAGAGTTTGCTCTTGACTAGCATGTCGTCGACATATACTTCCATATTCCGACCTATCTGATGATGGAAAACGGCATTGACCAACCGCTGGTAGGTGGCCCCAGCATTCTTCAGTTCGAATGGCATCACGCGGTAGTGGTAGGTACCTCAATCGGTAATGAAAGATGTATGTTCCCGATCGGACGGGTGCATTAGGATTTGGTTGTACCCAGAGAAAGCATCCATGAAGCTAACCATTTGATGACCGGCCGTGGCGTCGACCAGCAGATCTATGCGAGGAAGTGGATAGTTGTCTTTGGAACAAGCTCGGTTTAGGTCAGAGTAATCGACACAGAGTTGCCATTTGTCATTGTTCTTGCGGACTAGGACCACGCTTGACAACCATTTAGGGTAATCCACGTTTTTGATGAATTGGGCCTCAAGGAGCTTGTCAACCTCTGCGACTATAAGTGTATTGCACTCTGGATGGAAGATGCACTGCTTCTGGCGATAAGGTCGGAAATGGGGTTCGATGCTGAGGCGGTGAGTTATAAAAGAGGGGTCAATGCCAGCATGTCTGAATGGGTCCAGGCAAATACATCATTGTGCTCGATCAGAAGGGCGGTAAGGTCGGCCTTGGCTTGGGGGGATAGTTGGCTGCCGATCTTGGCAGTTTTTATAGGGTTGGTGGGATCGATGGGAACCTCAACAAGCTCCTCCACCGGTTCTCCACTAACCAGCTCGTCCTCATCTCGGACGTCAAGTCCTTCAATGATCATGGCCTACTTCAGCTTGACTTCCTTGAGTGAGGTGACATAACATTCCCTGGCTACGGTCTGCTCTCCCCATACTG